TTATGCATAAGTTTTTGAGTTTTTTACAGTCCCGCCTATTTTTGCCTTTGTTGCTTATGCTTTCGGTGTCCTATTTAAGAAACGATTACCAAATTCAATGTCATGAAGATTTTCTCATGTGTTTCTTTTTTAAGGAGGTTTATGGTTGTGGCCTTACGTTTAGGTCTTTAATCCATTTTGAATTAAGTTCTGTATATGGTATAAGGGTCCAACTTCATTCTTTTGCATATGGATATCCAGTGTTCCCAAAATATGTGTTGAAGAGGCTGTACTTTATCTATTTGTAGCACTGGCACTCTTAGAGATCATCTGACTATATAAATGAGGATTTACTGCTGGGCTCTCTATTCTATACTACTGGCCTACAAGTCTGTCTTTATTGCTACTACCACACTGCTTTGATTACTGTAGCTCTATAATATGTTTTGAAGTTAAAAAGTATAAGGTCTCCAGCTTTTTCTTTTGAGATTGTTTTGGCTTTAAGAGTCCTTTAAGAGTTCCCATATGAATTTTGGATTTTTTTTTTTCCTATGTCATCAGAAAACTCAATTGAGACTTTGGTAGGCATTAAACTGAATCTGCGGACTGCTTTGGGTAGTATGACCATTTTAACATTAAGTCTTGCAATTCACAAACACAGAGTATCTTTCCATTTATTTTTTATCTTCTTTAATTTCTTTTAGCAATATCTTATAGTTTTTTAGCGCGTAAGTCTTTGGCCTCCTTCGTTAAATCAATTTCTATTTTATTCTTTTTTGATACTACTATAAATGGGATTATATTGTTAATTTTCTTTTCAGATTGTTCAGATTGTACACTTAACTATTCAAGTTAGTGTACAGAAATGCAACAGACTTTCATGTGCTGATTTTGTATCTGCACCTCTGCTGAACTTACTAGTTCTAACAAGGCTTTTTGTTGTTGTTGTTGTTTATTCTTTAGGGTTTTCCGTGTACAAGATCATATTATCTGTGAACGGAGAAAATTTAACTTCTTTTCCCATCTGGATGTCTTTCTTTTCTTTTTCTTGCCTAATTGCTCTAGGACTTCCGACACTATGTAGAATAAAAGTGGCAAGAGTAGGCATCCTTGTCTTATTCCTGATCCAAGAGGACAAGCTCTTCAATTTTTCACCGCTGAGTATGTTAGCTGTGGGCTTGTCACAGAGGGCCTTCATTATGTTGAGGTATGTTCTTTCTATCCCTAGCCTGTTGAGTGTTTTTTATCATAGACAGGTGTTGAATTCTGTCAAATGCCTTTTCTTTATCCACTGAGGTGATCGTGTGGTTTTCGTCCTTCAAACAGACTGAAACCTTTTGTTTAGTTATTTATTTGAAAGACAGAATGTGTGCAAGCAGGAAGGGGGATAGGAGAGGGAGAGAGGAATCCCAAGCAGACTCCACGTGGGGGCTCAGTCTCACAACCCTGCTATCAAGACCTGAGCTGAAATCAAGAGTCAGACTCCTAACCAACTGAGCCACCCAGGCACCCCCAGACTGAAACATTTTAATGTCAAAATGATTTTTGTTTAATAAGAATGATGATCTGCATATCCACTATCTTATTCTGTTATTCTAAGACTAGAAACTTCAGACTTTTACAGCTGGAAGGGATCTTAGATAGCAACTAATCAAGTGAGACCCAAAAGGTTAAATGACTTGCCCAATATCACAATGGAAGTTATCAGAAGGGCTGACACCAGATCCTAGTAGAAAATAATTTCTGTACTGCTATCTTTCCATAAACCCCCACACAATTTATTCTATAGAAACAGCCTAAAACCTGTGAGAAAATGTGTGCATGCGTAGAGGTATACATACAAAATATGTTTATCAAAGCCTTATAGCAGTGAAAACAGGGAACAATCTAAACTATTAGATTTAGAAACGCAGTAGATTATGGCATGCCCATTTAAAAAGTACTATGCAGCACCTCTGAGGAATGATGTAAAAGTATACTTTCACTGACACGTCTGTAATTTATTAAGGGAAAAAAATTATAAAAACTGTACACAGAATTCAATTCCATTTCAAGAATTACATATGTACACACATACACTCTTTAAAAATCTAGGATACACACAAAAATGTTAACAGTGCTTTTATAAATAACGATTCTTAACTGATTTATACTTAATCTGTTTTCTAATTTCTTGACAGAGTATATATATTTCCCATGCATTTTAATAAAAGATCTACTACTATATTAAAATCACATGGATGTCTTCAAAACAAACAGCTGGAGTTGCTGGACAATTTCTAATTACTCATGTCTGGCTATTTGTCATTCTGGATGAAGATCAGCTTATGCTCACAGATGCACTTACCTCCATGGAGCCAAAAAAGTTTGTCATTGCACTCCTCTTAGCTACATTTAGTCCTCAACTCTATCTTCCTTAACCAACAGTCTTAGGCACCTTCTACAACATTTTCAGGGTTAATCTAATTTATCAACCCCCATGACATAACCAAACTTAGGGGAGGTACTCTAATCGTCTTCACTAATAGAAGGGGACAATGAGTACTCTGTTTTGATTACTTGGGCCCATCACCTAAAAATATCTCCCTTCCTAATAGATACATGTGTCCAAAATACAGACAAAAGTACAGTCATTTAAAAATCTAAGTTCTTCTTCCTTTCATGAACGTTTCAGTGTAACCATTTAGGTAAGTAGGGCCTTTAGGGTAGACATCTGGGCAGACAGGGGAGAGGAGAAGACTGAGCAGAGCAGACAGCATGTCTGTGCAACAGGGAGTTGTGTGCACGCATGGCGGTTGAGGGGATAAGATCAGTTATGGACAGGGTCACTAACCAAGTAAGTAAATATAGAAGGATAATGGGAGCCAATTTGTACTGTCAGAAGGAAATTATGAATATTAAAAAGGACAAAACTAGAATGAACCCTATGGTGTCGGCTGAAACTGTGGATATAATTGTGACTTCATGGTTTCTCAATATAGACAGATCCATGATAATATAGACAGGTAGATGTAAGCATGTGTGGAGTACATACATATGCACACACACCATCCAGCTCTCTTCACTAGGGGGCTCAGGAACACAGACATCCTGGTATCAGTGAGCATACCTATATACCAAAGTCCTGTTTCCTAAACATCATCGTCCTCCTGTAAGAAAGCAGGCCTCCTGGGATAAATGGCTGATATCAGAGTCGGGGCAAGGAGAGTACAAGATGAGCATGGAACATCTTGTTATGCTGCGAAGTGAAGGGTCACTCAAGAATATGGGACATGCCAAAAAGACACGGGTGACAGCTTGAAGGGTCAAATGGTAACGGAGCATAATCCACTGAATAAAAAAATCCTTGAGTCCATGCTGAGATTTAGAAAATGAAAAAAATTAGAAGTCTGATGAGGAATGGGTATATTTACAACCTCAAAATACCTCCACACAAAATACTTATGAATTATATAAATGGATAAAACCATTGCTTAACAGTGAAGACCTCTGGGAGACATCACCACAGTCAAGTGCTCAAAGAGAACAGCACCAGTAACTGGATGGGCAGGAAAGCATTAACCTCGCAGGCCTCAGACTATCTTTCTGGAAAGGACTGCTGGCAAGGATAGTCCTTGGTTAACATATGAGAATTTGGATTTGAGGAGTGTTCCCACCATTCCCTAAATGATGGGAGTGTCTCAACAGGCCTAAATTGTCTGGACAAACAATATGGTTTACACTCAACACCTCCTTTCCTTCTGAGAGTCTGGAATTCTGGAACATTGCTAGACAGAGGGGTACCTACATGCCCGGCCCTCAGTTTAAAACCTTGGACCCTGGGTCTGTAATGAGCCTCCGGGGGAGACGACACCTCCCCCATGTCCTATTCAGCACTGAAGGAGGTTAGTGTGTCTTGCGGGACTCCATGGCACTGATCTCTTGGAAGCTCCCCTGGCTTTCTGCTCTGCGGAGATGCTTTGCCATCTTTCCCTGTAACAAGTCTTGGCTGTGGGCCTGACCATACATGAAGAGTCTCGCGAGTCCTTCCAGTGTGTCTCAGAAGCAGTCTGAGGGACCCCACACGTGAGACAAATCAGAATCACGGATAAGAGGATACAATGAGAATAGAGCATCACCTCTGTGAGATGCCCACCAGAATACATAACCTAAACCTCATCATAAGAACACAAAGAGGGGCGATCTTTGAGATTAACCCAAAGAGGGACAATCTATAAAATAATCTATAATTTTCAAAAGCGTCGAGATTTTTAAAGCCAAGAAAAGACTGTTCCAAATGTAAAAAGACAAAAGAGACATGAATACTAAAGATAACGTGTGTTTCTGAACTGGATCTTTTTGTTCCAGAAAGGACAGTACTGGGACATCCGTGCTAGTGAAATACCTTCCACTAGAACAGTTAACATGTTAGCGTGACTTGCCCCAGGGGGGTGACTATGGCAATAGGGAAACTTCCCTGTTGGTAGGAAACAGCCACTCACGTGTCCATGATCATGGGACATCATACCTTACTTTTGAGTGGTTTTGGGTAAAAAAGCATTCTTGGTACTGTTCATACAACTGTTCTTTGAGCTTGAGATTGTTCCAAAATAAAAAGTAAAATAACAAGAATGGTGATGACGCGAATCCATTCCTCGACACCAAATACCAAATGAGAGAGAGTACAAGATCCTATGTGGGGCTAGTAGAAGCAACAGTAGAGGAGAGGAAAAGGATCTTCCCCACTCTTCCTCCTCACCAAGATCAAGTTTACATAAAGCAAGCAAGCTTCAAAGTCAAGTATTTTAACTGTACTGGTTGATGATTATTAAACAACTTTCATTAAGTGGAGAAAATCACTGCAGGTTGCAGAGCTGACTGTTATAACTTAGCAGTAATAACTTAGTGAGTCTTAATTACTTAATGATAAAACTAGGCATTTTTACTCTGTAGATTTTCAGGCATAACTTTCAGCTAGAAAAGGCCATCTACTTGACCCACTGCCAGAGAACTACTACCAAATTTTAAAAACGTTACATTACCGTTTGTGTGCTTCCTGTTTGCTGCGACATTCTTCACAGTAATATTTGTATTCACTGCACAGAGTTTCTGTGTTGCTGAAACCCCTGTGTAAAATTCAAGATAAATTTATTTTGTCTATACCAGAAAACTGTATTCATTTAAAAGTACTCTAAACCGAAGATATTCATTAAACTTCAAGATAAGTAACTCTCCAGTTACCTTAAGCAGTGAGTGATCGATGTGTTTTGTTCCACGTCAACAGAAAGGTCTAAAAAATCTTCATCTTTGCTGCTTATCTGTAAAAATAGGGAATTACCTTTGATTCTTTAACTGTCAGTAAATCATTGTTCTGAAGTGACAGAATTAAATGCATTCATTCTATTAGTAGTAGTAAGTACATGAAGAATTCATCTTCCACGAGTTCAAAAGAAATCTACTGGATCTGGATTATCCAAACGGACACTGAGTAAAGGACTCTCAACACACGTACAGGTTAAACAGCGAAGTCCACTTGTGACTGATTCCCTTTCTGGCAAAGATGAGGATGTGAAATCCCATTATTTTCCAAAACCTTGGTATTATGGTGAAACATGAAACAAAATGCCCATATATACTAATTCTTAAAAAAACACAGGCTAAGACTGAATGGGGACACTTGGCAAAGGGCATCACACTTGTGCTGTTTCATCATTCAAGGAAATAATTTTGCCTAAAATGCCAAATTACAATCTTCATTGACGACCAAATTACAGTCTTCATTGATAACCTCCTTTAATCCTTCTTCTTCTTCAAAAAAAATCTAACATAAAGTTCTGTTTGAATTATGGATAAACTCATCTGATTAAAAAAAATTCAAGTTATTACTTATTCATTTGAATTGGATTAGGACAGAACTTCAGACATCAATTTTCCTAGCTCTTCCCTTCAAAGACTCTATGCTTAAGGTTAGCACACAACAGGAGATCTCAGACTGTACCTCTCACACACAAGGGCTATAAGCCCACTGCAGTAAATGCCTTCCTGCTTCAATGGCGCATCAATTTTATAAGATCAGCATCATTAACTTGTGACAGATTACGTGGTTGTACATACTATGTACGTACGCAAATAGGAGTAGCTATGAGTACCATGTACGCACAGTCTAGGGACACCACGAGGGAAATGATCTGGGTCTCAAAAGATTCAGTGAAAAAGAGTATAAGAAAGACACACAGTGAGAGGAAAGGGAATGTGAGGTGCTAAGGAAAAAGAATCAGCCCATCTTGGGAGGAAGGAGGGTAGGATGTCGAGGGGACAGACAGGCGAAAGCCAGACTGAGCAGGGCCTTATGTGTATTTCTCTCTTTAAGAGAAATAAAGATTAGAGAGTCTGGTGTTTCTCAAAATGAAGTTTGTGGTTCTCAGGCACTGCCTCAGGGGTCTTCATTTTAGATTTTCATCTCTATTATATAGCATACAAAATTTGACATAACGATTGTTCTGGATCACCTGGATATATCTGAGTTACTATGTTTGGGTTTACAGTTCTGTTGGTACCGGGAAACTACCAAGTGGGGTAGTATTTAACTCTTCCAAGTGTTTGTAAACACGTCTGGTTGTACTCCCCTGTCCTAAGGTCAGGTCACACCCAGGATGTGGAAGACTCAGTAAAGCCCTGTAGGCTGGAGATGTGGGTGGGGAGTCATTAGCACAGGAGATAACAAAATGGAACATGACCCTCCCAAGGCAAAGCCGACAAGCAGCCCAAAACAAAAGCCTGGAGGAAGCCCACATTTGAAGGATTAACAGCAGAAAAAGAATGGGACCAGAAGAAAACATCAAAGAACAGAAGAACACAAGAAGAGGGTGCCATTAGAGAAACCCAACCTTCTACCAACTGGGACATTAACAACTGTGTTACTAACATCTGCCATACGAACACTGTCTCCAGGAAGCCCACTCTGAATCTTCACAACTCCGTCCCACTCCCACCTGGATAGGTCAGCTCCACTGTTGTCTGACTCCCACGGTCATGCTTACTTGAACTAGAATGTACTGTACTGGAATTACCTATCTGTTGGAAAGCCTGCACGCTCACCTGTGAGCATCTTGAGATCAGAATCGAGGTCTTACTCATTTTCCGCCAACCTCTACCCATCTTCTACCTGGCATAGTTGGTACTCAAATAGTTGTACAAAACTAAATGAAGAAATGCTATATATTCACTCTGAGAAATTCTCAATTTCATTTCTCTAGCTGAATTTGATAAAGGCATGGTACTAATGATCATTTACTGAGTCTGCAAGATGACGATTTAGATTTTGAGGAAATATTCTCAATTCACACCCTTAATTTTTGGGAAACTATCTGCAAATACATATTGCAGACCACAGGGGGACCTAGCTAGCAATGAATGGGTGGAAGGATCACTATCCATCCATTACAAGTAAAATTAATAAATATTTGAGCAAAACAAGGATGGGTGATAACACTTTCTCCATCTAATCCTCACTCCCATCATCCTCAGTCTGTAATATAAACTTCAAAGACCTTACATCATAGTATCCCAAAACCCTCCCAAATCTACTTTGCCAGCTTCACCTATTACTGCATTTCTCAACATGCTAAGCAAATTTAACTATTTTCTGTTTTATCGAAGAGGATGAATTATACATATCTTCTAACACAGACCAAACTCCATCATATCAAACATCAAAAGCAACTGCCAAACTCTCTGATTGTACCTATTATTCCAACCAAAACACTGCTCTAATAATTGGACAATATATTTACTTCCTAAAGCTTAGAACTCAGCTTCAATAAAATTCTTCTTTATAAGATCTACAAAACTTGTGTTAAAAAATAGACGGAGTTGGTTAGATTGAATAAATAGGAGTATTGAGACCAATTCCTGCCATCAAACATTGCCCAAACTCTTACTACAATTAACTAATGGCTGCAGCAATGAGCAATAATCCTTACTCTAACCCAAAAACATCTTCACAGCATGTTAATATATTCAAACACTCAATTATACCTCTTTCACTTGATGTGAGAGAGGGTCACCAATAAAAATGTATTTCCACAAAAGAATTTTATTTATTACTACTGTGTCCTTCATTAACTAAAATTATACTACTGACAACTATCATTTTCCAAATGCCTGATTATAGTTAAACAGATCAATGCATAACCGACAGTCAATAGATCACTCATCGGTATAGGTCATGGTTCTATTTAAAGACCCTATCTTTTAATTCATGGTGGAACCAAAACAGTCACCATTTGCTTTGAGAGAGAGAGAGAGAGAGAGAGAGAAAGAAACTACAGTATTACTTACATTAGAGCCAAAAACAAACAACAAACAAAAAAACCCCACACTCATCCATACAAACATAACAAAATAAAAATCTGTCAAGATCGACATGAAAACTACAAGATGATTTCTTTCTAAATCAAAGAAGATGTAGATAAATGTACAGTCCATGTAAATGGACAGTTAGACTCAAGACTGTCAAGACGTCAGTTTTTCCCAACTTCATCTATAGAGTCAAGGCAATCCCCTTTGAAATCACAGCACACTATCTTGTGGATAATACTAGTTTTTAAATTTTATGTGATTCTATAGTTTATATGGAGAGGCAAGAGGCCCAGAGCAGACAAAGCAATAATCATCAAAACTTGGGAGGCAGGTGAATGGATAAGTGAATACGTGAATGGATAAACTGCAGAATATCCACATAATGAAATATAATTAAGTGATAAAAAGAAATGAGCTACAAAGCTACTTACTCTATGATTCCAAATATACGACATTCTGGAAAAGTCAAAACTATGGAGGCAGTACAATGATCAGTGGTTGCCAGGGATTTGGAGAGGAAGGAGGGATGAATTTGTAAAACAGAGAGCGAAACTACTCTGTATGACACTGTAATGACAGACACATGTCATTATACATTTGTCAAAACAAATGGAACCCCAGAACAGACAATACCAAGAATGAACTCAAAATATGAACTACAGATTTTAGTTAATGTGTCATAGGGCGCCTGGGTGGCTCAGTCAGTTAAGCGGTTAAGCATCTGCCTTCGGCTCAGGTCATGATCCCAGGAGGGATCGAGCCCCACATCTGGCCCCTTGTTTAGCGGAAAGCCTGCTTCTCCCTCTCCCTCTGCCTGCTGCTTCCCCTACTTGTGCTCTCTGTCAAATAAATAAATAAAATTTTAAAATAATAATAATAATAATAATGTATCATTATTGGTCCATCAACTGCAACAAATGTACCTCATTAATGCAAGACATGAATCATAGGGGAAAGTGGAAGAAAGGAGAGAGAGAGTTTGGGAACTTTCTGTACTTTCTACTCAATTTTTCTGAAGTCCATTAATTAAAAAATACAATTTCCTATTAGCCTCATTCAACATACTAGGGTATGTTTATCTGATTTAGTCAAACAAGTAACCATGCTGTTCTTCCAAACATCCATAAAACATCTGTCTTATTTTTCTTGCTTGTGAATTCTCTTTTCCAATGGACGATGCTACTCTTCTGTGCTATTAAAGACTAGTCGTAGAACCATCATAGCAGGACTGGACCTGAGTGGATGCTAAATGTTGCGGGAGATTCTGATGAACAAGATATTTGTGTCTCCCCACAGACTGCCTTTACCAAGGCATAAAAACAAGACATTATCAACCAGAGAAAGTGAACAACACCTCGAATGAGAGATCAAAATTTTACCAACGAGAGGCAGACGGATGTGTGCCCACAGGTGAGACCCTGAGAAAGACATATTAACTGAATCACTCCAGCCAAGAATGCATACCTGCGTCTCAGTTAGAAGGAAACATCAGATAAACTCATTATGAGAAATGTTAGATTTTTTTTAAAAAAAGGACATACTCTTATAAAAATGTAAATGTCTTGAGAAGGTAATGATACTACGAAAGGACTGGGCTACTGACCCCACATAAAATCCATTTTCAGGCTTCTTCCCTACTGCTCATCTTTACGAAGTATCCAGCAAGTGGGTACTTTCCCCTGCTTGAGTGTACACAGTATGCTTTAGTTTTTATTCCAACAATCAACAATAAACACAACTGCAGGAAAAGGGAAAACAAATTAATGTACCTCCCTAACCTGTAAGTTTCTTATGGACTTAAGTAAGACACAGACATATAATTTCCAGAACATGACTCTATGGCCTCTTACACTGAAATAAAAACAAATACAGTTGACCCCTGAGCAATGCAGGGGGGGTGACGGGCACCGAAACCTCCTACCCACACTGCCACATTGAATCATGTGTAACTTCTGAGTCTCCAAAAAGCTAACTATAAGAGCCTTCGGTTGACCAGAAGCCTTATTGATAACATAAAACTTGATTAACACATGCTTTGTGTATGTATCATAGTATGTATTTATAATAAAGTTAGCTACAGAAAATGTTAAGAAAATCATTTTTAAAAACATCACATTTACAGTACTATACGTATACCAAAAAAAAAAAAAAAAAAAAAATCTACAAATAAGTGGACCCATGCAGTTCAAGCCCCTATTGTTCAAGGGTCAACTACAGTCCAAACCGCAGTATTTTTCTGTCAGCTCAGGTATTCACTGTTAATAAGCAGCATTACTACAGAGCATACCGAGTACGAGAGCAAGTACAGCTTCGATTATTCATTTATGCTACACCTAAGAAATTACAACCTTCATGTTCATCTCTCACACTTATCCTCTAAGAAGTTTTAATAAAAATGAATTAAATCTGCTCTATACAAAATTTTATGACATACTTACAGTTTCACAAGTAAGACATCTGGTTTCATTTGTCAGTGTTCCCTGAAAAATCTCGTGAACCCACGTTGGGTCTGGTGTGCTGTTGTTGTTCTCATTGTCAATATTACCGTTAGGTAAACGGCCATTTTGTTTTTCCTGCTTTCTTTCTTCTTGTAAAATATCAGCAATTGTATTTAGTAGGTAATTTAAGAATTCATGGGCATCTTGCTGCATGTAGTTGTCAAAAAGTTCTAAAAATAAAAATATATTAGAGAATTACTTCAAAATTAATAACCTGATTAAAACTAGATTTAAAACAAATATCCAATATTCTATCAGAACTAAATACAAACGTCTGGTATTGTCAGTCATGTACAAGAAACAGATTGTCTTTCACAAAAACATACGATTAAACTTGGAGAAAATACAGTTAAGACAAATGAGGATCTTCTTTTTAAAGCAACAATATTAAGTGATCCACGAGAAAAGGGCAAACTACCCTCACACGTTTATATAATATATGGAAGAGATCAGAAACAACTGCCTTTTGTTAGCTCCTCTGATTATTCCACAAAGATTATAACATGGCAAGTTTTATTTTTTAATATATTTATTTATTTGACACAGCAAGTTTTAAAACAGAAGCTGGACAACCTCTTGCCAAGGCAAAGCCAGCTGGGTAAGAACTACACGGAAAGGCTGTGGAAATGACAATGACTGGGCCATGCATCCTAAGGGATTCAGTCAGAGGTGAGGCCTGGAACCTGGAACTTTCCAAAGTTCCTCCAGGGGACTCTGATCTGCAGTCAGGTATAGGAAACAACGGTATCACAAATCATCTATTCAATCCAGATAATCTCTAAAAATGAGATTTTGTAACTCTGTGAAATGTTCCCTGTAACTATACAAATGAATAAATATCACCGAAACCCAGTCACTAACATGAACTGCTTTATACCCAGCACTGGACATTACACCACCTGAAACTGAAAGGTAAGGACTTCACAGGCAGTGTCGCAGTTGATCTTTTTAACAACTCTGTGACGATGTTATTGTCATCTTCCAAATGAGGGAATGGGATCAGAGAGGGAAAGTCACACCGCCGCCAGGAAGTGGCAGGCCCAGGACACAAAGCAGGCAGTCCCAAAGCGGCTCTGAGCTGCATACAAAGCAGCCTGCCCAGGGAGGCCCAGCCCCACAAGGGCACCTGCTGCTCAGCGATCAAACACACTTAGAAGATGACCTGGCCAGCAATATTTTATCTTTAGATCCTCAAGGCACATTTAATAAATTCCAAAGATATCACAGCTAACATTTTTTAAATAAAAGACAACAAATTAGGAACAAAACTTAGGCATAGTCTAAGATAAAAAGAACAAAAAATTATATTTTAGAAGAGCTACAGTTATGACTGCATAAAATTAAGTTTCTATGCATTAGAAATCACTGAAAAAGTTTTAAAAAAACATAAAAACTATTAACAGCTTCAACACATGAAGAGTTTATATAAAAGGAAATACCAAGTGTGGAAATCAATTTACAGAAACAAAATCAAAAAGTTAAAAAATGTGAGAAAATGTTCAATCTTATGGTAATCAAAAAGGCCTTGATTTTCTGGTCTGTAAAACGGAATACCATCTTCTCTTGCAAAGTTACTGTACAAACAGAATGGGAACTAGTGAAAATGTGGATTTGGGAGGTACAGTCAAAACAAATAAAGACTCATTTCACTCTTGGTGTCAAAAAGACCTGTAAGGAGCCTCAGATGTAAGGTGCAGCTGCTCGAGCAAGACTGTCTGGATTCCTAGGATGGTTCAACCTTTAATTACATGTATGTCACAGGCAATTTACTAAACCTCTTTCTTGGAGTTCAAGTCAAACTCAATAATACTAATGCAGTTAGAGCCACTCCCCACTTCTCTTCTGTAAACTTGTCCTGAGGGATTTGATTAGCCTTGAACAAACCCTTTATGTTTTAGAACAATGAAAGCCTTGAGTCCTGAGAGATATTGCATTAGCCTATGTGGAGTTAACATCTAACTGATGATAATTTGGTATTCTGTGTCCAGTGGTTTTTGCCCATGAGGGACAGATCCAAGAGACTGTGACACCATTCCCCATCCCCTGTTGCCGGCAGAAGTCTGTGTGTCACTCCTGACACTGACACAGCTCACTGCAAAACCTCCCAGCTGTCTCCTGTATCTTCTTGAGACAAACCAAGTCATCGTCAGAACCCTTAGATGGTTCCACCAATGGACCGATCTAGGCAAGGCTGGGGTAACTGAAGTCAATTACCCTTCACTTTGCCTCTCAATGCAATGATGCCTCATCCCTGAAAATACCAGTCTACCTCCCAACCCCACTCTCCCATCCTCTATTACTCTGAGTCGTTTATTGTTCCTTATTTCCTTCCTCATCCTTGGAATTTTCTTCTTTCTCAACCCTTTCTGCTGTTCCCTCCAGAAACAACGTTCTGTTCTAAACTCCCCATCTCTTCAGCCTCTGGCATTCTTGAGCTCCCTGCAGCCACTTCTAAATCATTACACTTCACTTTGCATATGAAAAACTCGCCCTCAGTTAGAAAAGCTGTTAAGGTCTGGCCATACTACCCCGAACCCCCTTCTTTCTGTGGTCATCTGCCAACTTCCCCTCACCTACTAAAGGCCTGATTCCTGGTCTCTTTGTCCATCCCGACTCCTTCACCAACCCGGACACTTTCAGTGTCTGGGCAGCTTCCAGAAGTGTACAGGCCACCCTTAAAAGTCCCCTTTTCATCTCTCACTTACTCACCCATCCCCAGGTCACAAAAGAACCACCCATGTCTGCTAAGAAGGAAATATACTAGAGTTGATTAGGGTTCAAGGAAAATACGAACAAATTGGAAAAGTCAGCGATGAATCTAAAAGGAAAGATAATGGGAAAGGACCAGTAATATTTTATAAAAATATTTTATAAAGATTTTATAAAGATTTTTTAATAAAAACTCTATTTTTTAATATTTTGTTATATATTTTATAAAAACTCTAAGGGCCTAGTTAAAGTGAGATATGAACAATTTCTCTCTTTTCCACGAAATCAAGTTTTTTCTAACCAAAGTTTTTTTTTTTTTTTAAATATTTTATTTATTTATTTGACAGAGATCACAAGTAGGCAGAGAGGCAGGCAGAGAGAGAGAAGGAAGCAGGCTCCCCAAGGAGCAGAGAGCTCGATGCAGGGCTCGATCCCAGGACCCTGGGATCATGACCTCAGCCAAAGGCAGAGACTTTAAAACCCACTGAGCCACCCAGGTGCCCCTCTAACCAAAGTTTTAATGAATATATTTTTGCCTTGAATATTTAAAATAAACTATAAAATTAGAAAATAACTAAAAAGATATAAATAAAAAATTTTCTGGTTAAGAAAAAACAAACAATAAAGAAGTCTCTTTTTTTTCCTGTTAGAAGTTATTTTAGCATCTATGCATGTCTTTCAAAATAATTTATAAAGCTAAAATGTGCAAATACTTTTGTTTTTTTAAAACTTGAAACATCTTTTTTTAGATGTTGTTCTTTTAACACAGAACAAGGACTTCACATTCACAGACGCAGCTCAACTGACTTGAACACTCTGGACATGAGATATAAAGTAAACCAGAAAATACTCTTTAAGCATTTTGTTGAAATATTTAAAATAATTTACAGTCCATTTTTTATAAACACAGTACAGTAAATGTGCCAGACTCTCGCTGTGCCTGAGTAGCCAATACAGATTTAAAAACTTCAACCAGAACCACATAAACAGCAAAACATCAACAACTAAATGGCCACAGACAAGACCCGTAAACTGTATTACATTTAATTTCTAAAATCTTGGTTTCCTTATGGTTTGCTTTCTTTTCTGCTAAGTAGCATGATGGGAAAGGTGGGCTTCAAAGTTGCTTTGGCAAATTAAACAAATTCACTCATTCACTCACTCACTCATCAAATATTTAGTAAGCACCTACTACGTGCCAGGAACTAGATTACATGCTGGGAATACAATGGTGAGCAAAAACAAACGGGTTCCCCTCATCATGGAACTGACAGTCTAATGGGGCAATTTCATTATTAAATAAATGAATATGAAAGGTATAAATTATTAAAGTCCCAAATAGCTGCAACATTAACACACACACACACAAAAAAAGGGAAAACTAAATGCGTAAAAATGTTATATGTTCTTCACAATTCAGAAATAGTTAGCTTTCATTAATACAAAAATCTTTTACGTTCTTTTGGAGAAACAGGATTAAAATGAACATGGGAATTATTCAACCACATCTATTTAATAGCTGTTATTTGTAATTATTTCCTCACTTAAGGAAGACCAATCCTTAAAAATATATTCTTACATATTTATATTAGTATCTCTCTGCAGCACCTGAAGCATCGCTAGGTACATACAGGTTTCTTGAGAATAAGGATCTTCTCTGTCTCATTCACTGTGTATCTCCAGACCCAGGACAATGCCTGCCACATATTTAGATGTGCTTGACGTTGTAGGAATGAATGAACGAACGAGCTACCAAATGAATAACAGGGGCGGAAACAGCTACGACAACATGGGAAGAAATCTGGGCCCAAACAATGGCGTGAACTACGTGTGCTGTTAAGACCCAGTGAGTCGGAGCACACAGCTACACGTGCCAGCTGATGGGACTTTCCAGCCCCCCATAAGTGATCCCAAGCCAAGTCACCGCTAGCTAGCACACAAGTAGCTCGTCAGTCCGTGTTTTGAGTCTTCTAGAACGGTAGAGTGGCTATGGGAAGTTAGCAGTGTAGAACGGAGGGCTTTACTTCTTACCGAGGTTAGTGCAACAGCCTCCTGGGCTGGTCTCTCGGGCTGTACTCATGCGGCCCATGCCCGCTCATGCCTACCACACCACCCAGCAGCCAGATCAAAACACATCACCCACTTACTCAGCAACCCTAACAGCTCGCCATGGCTTTCAAATTAAAGCCCAAGTTCTAGGCCCTTGCCTTTTTTCTCTTACTCCACTCCAGCCACATTAATATCCGTGTCGTCCTTCAAGCACTCAGGGCAACTGCAATTTCGATTCTACCCACTTGGAAGGAGTTTGCCTCGGATTTTCCAATGGCTTCTCACTTCAACTCTCTGAACTAGCATAACTGATCAACTCCCTTTCCACGTTTTATTTTTTTTTTTCATGGAGATAAAACATTAAATTACATGACTATTGGTCCTCTCCACTAGTTTCTGGCAGTCAACAGAAGCTAAATATATAATAGTTAATCAATTCAAACATTCAGCTAGTTTCCCGTCATTAAGGAGAACACATTTATGGAGCAAGTCTTATCACACTGTAAAAGTACTCTGCTACAGTTCTTAGATGCTCTGATTAGGGAACATGAATTAAAATTTTGAAAGCAAAAATCCATTACTGAAATTAAAAGTTTCTTCCCAAGTAATATCGAAATCATTAGCTATATAAAGTATCAGTGGTTAACATAGTATGGAGCTAATATTGACTGCAAATACAAAACATGACGTTTATTTACAGCATACCATAGAAGAAAACTGGTTTAAGAACAACAGTCCAACAGTGAAAGTTAGTGGAAATTCTGAAATGGGCAACATCCATTTGTGCCAGAGATTTAAAAACAAACAAAAAACCCCAACAAACGTAATGTCAGAAGGAGAGTTAAGCAATGGATAGCCCATTAAATGCTCTTTAACTCGTATGCTCTCCTCTACAAAATTGAAAAAAAATCAAAAGGCAAAACTGTACTTCATACAAATGCCAGCAACATCAAATAATAAACATGCTTCTCCATTAAATATTGTTTCTGAGGTATAGAAAAATGAAACAAAACTATGAGAGGATAAGTTTGGAATATTCACTCTGGAATCAATTTCATCAAACAAAAGAAGTCTACTGTACAATGTACTCTGCCTAAACATTTAAAAAATTTTCAGAAAATACTGAATTATTAAAAAAATAATAAACACTGTAAAAACATCCCAGCTTTGACAAGCAGACATATAAAGCCACAGAGACGCAACTTTCAAAACACAGTAACTTGAGCTCTGTGTGCAGCGTGACTTACTGTAAATTTAAAAAGCCACTGCTCACTTCAGGACCATAGGCATGTACCTCCACCCAAAGTCCCGTGTTGAAACCCTAACCCCAATGAGATGCTCTTTGGAAGTGGGGCCTTGGGAGGACCTTTAGGTCTTTAAGACTGGGATTAGTGTCCTTTTAAGAAGAGACATGAGCGAGTTTGCTTCTCTCTCTTCACCATGCGGGGCACGGCAAGAAGGCAGCCATGAGCAAACCAGGAAGACAGCCCACATCAGACGCTGAAGCTGCCGGCATGTTACTCCCGAATGTCTCAGCCTCCAGAACTGCAAGAAACACGCGTCTCTTGTTTAAGGCATCCAGGCTATGGTACTTTGGTTACAGCAGCCCAAACTAAGAGCATATACAAGAGATTAAAGAATAGGGTCCGGGCACCTGGGTGGCTCAGTGGGTGAAAGCCTCTGCCTTCGGCTCAGGTCATGATCCCAGGGTCCTGGTATCGAGCCCCGCATCGGGCTCTCTGCTCAGCGGGGAGCCTGCTTCCCTCTCTCTGCCTGCCTCCCTGCCTACTTGTGATCTCTGTCAAATAAATAAATAAAATCTTTAAAAAAAAAAAAGAATAGGGTCAAGGGGCGCCTGGGTGGCTCAGCTGGTTAAGTGTCCAACTCTTGATTTTGGCTCAGGTCGTGATCTCAGGGTCGTGAGACCAGGCTCTGCTTCTGAGCCCAGCGCCCAGCTCCATGCTCAGTAGGAAGTCTACTTGAAATTCTCTCCCTCTTTCTCTGCCCCTCCCTGCCCTCAAATAAATCAATCTTAAAAAAATAATAATAATAAGGTCAAGAAAAATGCACTATTCACTGAAAAAGAAAATACTGTGTATTTTATGTTTCGTGTTTCTGATGCTGACCATTTCTAAAATACTAACAAAATCACCGAGAAAGATGGCACGTTCAATTACCATGTGCATGAATTTTCTACCAAGACCAAATCCCTGAAGTTTCATACCAATACAGACAAAACGACTGAAGGGACTTGAATCACTCAGCCAAACTCTAACAGAGCTGTATTTGGTGTTCTTAAAAACAGAAGATACTACACAGATTTCTAATTTAAGAGAGATGTTTGGCTTTCATAGGGAAAACACAAAAAGATTTGTTTTTGTGAATGAATGATCAACTGCTTTGTATCTATATACAGAGGAAATAAACAAAATCTTTAACAGCTGAATCAGATTCAAGAATAATAGTCTATTGCCATGTTATCTCAGTGTCTTCTTACATTTCAGGAAACTGGATATGACCCAGGCTTATCTCAATTCATGGGATAATGAACAGTGTCAGCGCAGTTAAGGACAGCATTATTCAATTATGGTAACTAATCTTAAAGACATCTCAAATCTTATTTCTGTGGGCATCTTTTTATAAAAAATCAAACTAAAAATACCACTCAATTTTATTTCCACAATGATTAAACTGGCTACATCAAACAAAACCCAGAATTCTACATGTGATTCAAATCCTACTTGAGGGGCGCCTGGGTGGCTCAGTGGGTTAAAGCCTCTGCCTTCGGCTCAGGTCATGATTTCAGGGTCCTGGGATCAAGTCCCGCATTGGGCTCTCTGCTCAGCAGGGAGCCTGCTTCCTCCTCTTTCTGCCTGCCTCTCCTGCCTACCTGTGATCTCTGTCTGTCAAATAAATAAATAAAATCTTTTAAAAAAAAAAAAAAAACTGATGCAAATGTTTTTTTTTGTTTTTTTGGTTTTGTTTTTGTTTTAAATAAATAAATAAATAAATAAATCCTACTTGAATTTTCTGAGGTAACATAACACAGCAGACAGAATATGGGACTTAGATGTCAGGAACATGTGTGGGACCCTTATAAGCCATTTTAACTCCTGTGAGCATCTACTATTTCATATAAAATGAGGTAATAACATCTGACTTCTGGGCCTGCTGTGAACATTAAACAAATCTAAAAGAAAAACACTGAACAGAGAAAAGAGAAGACAGGCTTAATCAGTAACTATTTTAAAAAGGGGGTGAGTGGAGTTAAAACCACCTACACCTACCCTAAGCCAAAAAGTTTCTGGAAAGCTTTTTAGCCTCTATTCTTTGCACGGCTAAAGTGGGAGAGATCACATGCTCTCTAAATCAGGGTCGTGTAAGGATCGAATGGGTTAACAGACATGAAAGCACTACAAAAAACAACAAATAATGGGAGGAAGACCCAACTTTATTCACGATAGAAGAACCAAGCAGGCAAAAATAAATAAAAATAAAAATAAAAAAATTTTAAAATTTCTCATTTCCTGGCATACAGAATGTAATCTTTGTAGAACATACTTCCAACATTAATCATACCTCATATTAATTACTGTGTGATTACCTCCCTCACTAAACTAGCACTTCCTTCAAGACAAGAACGTCAGCTTTGGTTTTTCCATGGCTAACATACTTTCAGTCTTAGAAGATGCTCAGTCAGCGTCTGCTGAACTGTGGTGTGCTGTTATTTACCCTTTCTGGTACGTAAGAATACATTCAGAAGTAGAAGAATTACCATTTTCCTTCCGTAATCTTGTTATGAACTTCTTAGGAGGAATCACCCCAACCTTCTTCTTCTGAGTGGCTATGCTATGGAAGAGGTCTGCTAGGCAGGTAAGAAGGTTCTCCTTCTTCCTAGGTTGGCTCTTGTATGCTAGAACTTTTTCCCGAAATGGACGACAAAAATAAAGTGCTTGAAGAACTGAATTACAGTAGCAGGTATTCCCAAACTAGAATAGGAAAAAAAAAAAAATCTTGTTAAATATGGGGCAACACATTTTTCAAGAGAAAGAATTTCCATGTATAATTAAGAAAACAGAGAGAAGATAGGGAATTTATGGTCCTCATGAATTAAAAGGTATCTGAGAGTAGAAATAATTATTCTGACTGCAAATCTGCCCTTTGAACATTAAACGGATGCTCCAGGCATTGGTTTCAGGTTAAAATTGAAGGAAAATATATGCAATAAATTTGGGCTTCATGAAAACTAATTTAAAAAACTATACAGTTTAAACAGTAAGAGTACTTAAAAGGCTTAGACTTAGACTTAAGTACTTAGACTTCTTTATAATTCTTTTTTCAATTCCCATTGTTACATTTTAGATATTAAGCATTTCATATATTATACATTTTAAAATATAACTCTCAAAAATTCTTTTGAAAAAACACAAAAGTGAGGTTTTCTATCAGATTCTTAAGTGCCATAAAAAAATAAAAACAAGGGGTCCCTGGGTGGCTCAGTTGGTTAAGCGTCTGCCTTCAGCTCAGTTCATGATCCCAGGGTTCTAGCATTGAGCCCTGCATCAGGCGTCCCTGCTCAGTGGGGAGTGTGTTCCTTCCTCTCCTCTTGACCCTCCCCACAACTCTCCCCCGCCACCCACCACTCATGTTTGCTCTCTCTCAAATGAATAAATTAAAAAATCTAAAAAATAATAATAATAAAAAGCAAAATAAAATGAGATCCTCTGAAATGTTAGATTAAAAATTTTCAAGGGCACCTGGGTGGCTCAGTAGGTTAAGTGTCTGCCTTCTGCTCAGGATATGATCCTGGGGTCCTGGGATCAAGCTCCACATTAGGCTCCCTGCCAAGCAGGGAGTCTGTTTCTCCCTCTGCTCCTACCATCCGTCCCCCCGCACCGTGTTCTCTCTCAAGTAAATGAATAAATAAAAATTTTAAAAACAACAACAACAAAAACTTTTCAGTATGCCAGCACAACCACCATTGAAATGCTGAGATACCCGCACATCACTCTTGATATATTACAAACAGACTTCAGGTGCATTAAATCCTCCACATGAACCGACTTCTTACCGGCCATGTGTAACTACAGCCTGCTGAACTTTAATCTCCTCCTCTTTAATAATGGGGGGAAATAATCCTACCTTATGAGAAAATGACACACAATTTGATCAACATTCATTGTCTTCCTTTTCCCTTCCCATTAACAGACACTGGTTCCCAAAGCCAGCTGACAAAACACCTGTAAGTTGATTGATGAGGACTTGGGGAGACTTTGAAAGTGTAAGAAGAGGGAAGAGGACAATTCTCACAGCACTACCATGCAGTGAGGTCACATACTCACTAACCTAAAAAGCCTAGGCAGAGGAGACTGTTTTAAGGGGCAGTGTCAAGGTGCCTGTGTGGCTCTGACGGTTAAGCACCAGACCCTTGGTTTCTGCTCAGGAGCCGATCCCATCATGGTATCGAGCCCCAATTCAGGTTCTGTGCCTAGCACAGAGTCTGTGGGAGATTCTCTCTCCCACTGCCCCTACCCACCCCCAACTTGCACACACACTTTCTCTCTAAAAATAAGTATTTTTTTTTAAAAGGGTAATGTCAAACACATCCACAGACATGTACATTTGCTCATATTTAAAAACCAGGAAGGATAAATTAAAAACTAATAAAAATGGTTATAGAGAAAGAGAGGAATCAAAGTAGCTTTTTAAAAAATTTGCTTACCTTTTTAAAAATATTTGCTTTGCACCGATTTTTTTTAAACTAAATTAAATTGAAAATATCTCAGAGGAAAAAAAAGAAATTCCTAAAGCTGAAAGGAAACAGAGATCAGTGAAACCTAAATGTTTATCCAGTCCATGGGAGAACTACACAAAAAATTAGTTCGAGCAACTTTAAAACATGGAATTTTTACTATACATATTGAAATAGTCTAAGAATAAAAAGAAGAAATCTTTTTTTTAATAATTTCTTTTTTTTTTTAAGATTTTATTTTATTTATTTGACAGAGATCACAAGTAGGCAGAGAGGCAGGCAGAGAGAAAGGAGGAAGCAGGCTCCCTGCTGAGCAGAGAGCCTGATGTGGGGCTCAATTCCAGGACGCTATCATGACCAGAGCAAAAGGCAAAGGCTTAACCCACTGAGCCACTCATGTGCCCAAAAAAAAGAAATCTTAAATGCATTCAGTAATCACATTGTTAGAACTAATCTATTAACATTGTTATTTTGAAACTACTATGGATTTCTATAGGACAAAGCAAGCAAAGGATTACATTAATATCCTTAGGAACCAAAATTGTTAATGCAAAGGAAAAAAGATACAATAATAAAGATAAGAGTAAAATCCCTATAAACAAACTGGAATTTCTTTCTTTCTTTTTTTAAGATTTTATTTACTTATTTGACAGAGAGAGCAATCACAAGTAGACAGAGAGGCAGGCAGAAGGGGAGAGGGAAGCAGGCTCCCCACTGAGCAGAGAGCCCAATGCAGGGCTTGATCCCAGGACCCTGAGATCATGACCTGAGCCGAAGGCAGAGGCTTAAACCCACTGAGCCACCCAGGCGCCCCTTAAATTGGAATTTAAAGTATTAGTATAAACTCATGTCTGTCTGTGTGTGTGTTTTCAACTTCCATCCACTGAAAGGCCTAGCAGCACCAAGTTTCCCTGGCACACAGACTGTAGTCTTTAAAAACCTTTTTCCCAGGGCACCTGGGTGGCTCAGTGGTTTAGGCCTCTGCCTTCGGCTCAGGTCGTGATTTCAGGGTCCTGGGATCGAGCCCCGCATCGGGCTCTCTGCTTAGCGGGGAGCCTGCTTCCTCCTCTCTCTCTCTGCCTGCCTCTGTGCCTACTTGTGATCTCTGTCAAATAAATAAATAAAATATTTAAAAAAAAAAAAAAAACCTTTTCCCACAGAAAGGAACTAGGATGTCTTACAGATATGGCTACACTAGGTCTGGGACAGGAAACATACAAATGTAGATCAGGCTGGAATATCTTTTTGCACAGATTCAAGAGCCAAATTTCATCAAAAAGAAATACTACAATTGATAAAAAGCACATTAATCATATAAATATTTATGAATTAATAATGATATTTTATAAAACCTTTCATTAGACTCCATGGATGCTATAAACTAATATATAAAAGGAGAACATCAAAGTTTTATCTTGTCCCCTCTCCCTCCCCCGCCCCAAGAGCTAGCACATGAGCACAGGGGTAGAGAGTAGGGGCAGAGGGAGAGAGAGAATCCCAAGGAGGCTCCACACCCAGCATGGAGCCAGGCAAGGATCCTGAGATCATGACCTGAGCCAAAATCCAGAGTTGAATGCTTAATTGACTGAGCCACCCAGGTGCCCCTTATCTTGTCTTTTTTTTTTTTTTAAGATTTTATTTATTTATTTGAGAGAGAGAGAGAGAGCATGAGAAGGGGGAGGGTTAGAGGGAGAAGCAGACTCCCCACTGAGTGGGGACCCCGATGTGGGACTAAATCCTGGGACTCCAGAATCACGACCTGAGCCAAAGGCAGTCGCTTAACCAACTGAGCCACCCAGGTGCTTCCTTATCTTGTCTTTCTTGTAAGAACAATATTTCACAGGGAACTGAAGAGTTGATAAAGAAGTTCCAGCTTACAGAATAAATCCAGCTAATAAATTCAGAAGAAATGACTACAAATAATGGAGTAGGAAATAATTATCAATGGATACCAAAAGCATTAATGGCTGATGAGAACTTTAAAAATGATCTGAAGCCCCAGTGCACTACAACATCATTAAAAATGAACTGCCAAACTTTTGTCTCTTGCAGAAATATGTAGCAACTCTTATGAAGAATTCTTGTCTTAAAAAACAAAAGTACTACAATTTTTTAAACTACTAAATTTCAATCACATGTCTATCTACCAATTTACAAGATATTTAAGGAACAGAGAAATGAGTTAAACAATACCACAAAAAAAGAACAGAACATGAGGCCCAGTGAGAATATATGATTTTTACATTCCTATTGGAGTCACTTCAGAGCCAAGAAGTGGTTTCCATAAAAACAAGTGCTTTAAAGCTTTCTAGGTAAATGCTAAAAGAAGTAGATGAAAAGGAGATGATGCATTGATACTATTGATAAATGTAACTCTGGATATACTTTAATAAAGCCTATCCGGGGGCTAAGTACACCTGCAGTAGAATCTACAATATTACTGAGATTAATTTACCAATTATTCAGTATCAATTAGTCTGAAAAATACTAGTATTTGTATCACAGTCTAATGAAGCTAATGACCAACAAACTATGCCTCTGCCATTGGAGAGAAGAGTCACTCTCCATCACTGGACACTTCTGTTATAGAATAAGCAAAAGGGATTCGAATGACTTCCACAGAGCAGGTAAAAAAAAAAAAAGACAGCGCCTCACAGTATATTAGAAGAATTTTTAATAAAGGTTGACCAAATTATAAAAAACGCAGCACATGGAATGATAAGCTAAGGAACCAGAGGGAGTCTATTATTTTGTACAGAATGCTGGAAGGTAGACTCCTGCTCATCTTCTGAACATAAGGCAATGATTAACGTTACAATCAGGTCTCTGAGGTCTTCTCTTATGGTCTTGCACTGATCTTCATCAATCCCATTACAGAAAAATCAAAGTTTGACACTACTACAATTTCTCCAGAACAAGCAGTAACTTTCGATCTTATTCATAACTCTGAAAATTTTTCTTCAGCTTCCCTGACAGTAACTTTCTTCCAAGTTCCCTAAAACCTAAAAATGTATCTCTCTAGTGGTAGCTTTCATGCAAAAGATTGTCTGCGATGATTTCCCCCACACTCCTGTTTCTGAATGCTCGATTTCCAAAAAAGACATTGCTTTAAGGGTTGAAACCTACCCTATGTCTTCTCAGCTTGTTTTGAAGATCAAAGGTATAACCAGGTTTAAAATAAAGGGAAACAAATTTTAAAAAGCTGCCACTCTCCTCAAGGTCTGAGCATTGATTTTT